GATACATTTGCGCCCACAAATTTGAGCGACGATCCGGGCTTTGATCGAGCCGTACCGTTCCTGATTTGTCTCGCGCCTTCAGACCCGCCTTCATGCTTCGACAAGAAGCAAAATATAAAGCAATCGTTCCGACGGAGCTAAATTACTACCGGATAAAGAACGAATAGGAAATTTGGATTTCGAAACAAAAATGAAAGGGGTGCAACACGAGAACTTCCCAGGGGGTCACCCATCCTAGTACTACTCTCGCCTAAGCACGCTTAACTTCGGAGTTCTGATGGGATCCGGTGCATTAATGTCGGTATGATCGCACCCGCCATTTTTCTTTCGCTTTATTCCTTTAAACTACCCAGTCCTGCGAAGCAGTGTGGCTTTTCTAGGCCGAAATTCATTTTAAGCGTCAATTCAAGCATTTTCCTCTTATCCTTTTATTTATTTACTTTATTTTTTTTTGTTATTGATTTGCACCTTATTTTTTTCCCTCATCCCGCAACTCTAAATTATCATGAAATCAATCCTTCACGCTTGCGGTGATACATTTGCGCCGACAAATTTGAGCGACGATCCGGGCTTTGATCGAGCAATACCGTTCCTGATTTGTCTCGCGCCTTCAGACCCGCCTTCATGCTTCGACAAGAAGCAAAATATAAAGCAATCGTTCCGACGGAGCTAATTACTACAGGATAAAGAACGAATAGGATATTTGGATTTAGAAACAAAAAAATGAGGGGTGCAACAAGAGAACTTCCCAGGGGGTCACCCATCCTAGTACTACTCTCGCCTAAGCACGCTTAACTTCGGAGTTCTGATGGGATCCGGTGCATTAATGTCGGTATGATCGCACCTGCCATTTTTCTTTCGCTTTATTCCTTTAAACCACCCCGTGCTGCCCGAACTGTGTGGCTTTTCTAGACCGAAATTCATTTTAAGCTTCGATTCAAGCATTTTCCTCTTATCCTTTTATTTATTTACTTTATATTTTTTTTGTAATTGATTTGCACCTTATTTTTTTCCCTCATCCCGCAACTCTAAATTATCATGAAATCAATCCTTCACGCTTGCGGTGACACATTTGCGCCGACAAATTTGAGCGACGATCCGGGCTTTGATCGAGCAATACCGTTCCTGATTTGTCTCGCGCCTTCAGACCCGACTTCATGCTTCGACAAGAAGCAAAATATAAAGCAGTCGTTCCGACGGAGCTAAATTACTACAGGATAAAGAACGAATCGGAAATTTGGATTTCGAAACAAAAATGAGAGGGGTGCAACACGAGGACTTCCCAGGGGGTCACCCATCCTAGTACAACTCTCGCCTAAGCACGCTTAACTTCGGAGTTCTGGTTGGATCCGGTGCATTAATGCTGGTATGATCGCACCCGCCATTTTCCTTTCGTTTTATTCCTTTAAACTACCCAGTCCTGCGAAGCAGTGTGGCTTTTCTAGACCGAAATTCATTTTAAGCGTCAATTCAAGCATTTTCCTCTTATTCTTTTATTTATTTACTTTATATTTTTTTTGTTATTGATTTGCACCTTATTTTTTTCCCTCATCCCGCAACTCTAAATTATCATGAAATCAATCCTTCACGCTTGCGGTGATACATTTGCGCCGACAAATTTGAGCGACGATCCGGGCTTTGATCGAGCCTTACCGTTCCTGATTTGTCTCGCGCCTTCAGACCCGCCTTCTTGCTTCGACAAGAAGCAAAATATAAAGCAATCGTTCCGACGGAGCTAAATTACTACAGGATAAAGAACGAATAGGAAATTTGGATTTCGAAACAAAAACGAGAGGGGTGCAACACGAGGACTTCCCAGGGGGTCACCCATCCTAGTACTATTCTCGCCCAAACACGCTTAACTTCGGAGTTCTGATGGGATCCGGTGCATTAGTGCTGGTATGATCGCACCCGCCATGTTCCTTTCGCTTTATTCTTTTAAACCACCCCGTGCTGCGAAACAGTGTGGCTTTTCTAGACCGAAATTCATTTTAAACTTCGATTCAAGCATTTTCCTCTTATCCTTTTATTTATTTACTTTATATTTTTTTTGTTATTGATATGCACCTTATTTTTTTCCCTCATCCCGCAACTCTAAATTATCATGAAATCAATCCTTCACGCTTGCGGTGATACATTTGCGCCCACAAATTTGAGCGACGATCCGGGCTTTGATCGAACCGTACCGTTCCTGATTTGTCTCGCGCCTTCAGACCCGCCTTCATGCTTCGACAAGAAGCAAAATATAAAGCAATCGTTCCGACGGAGTTAAATTACTACAGGATAAAGAACGAATAGGAAATTTGGATTTCGAAACAAAAATGAGAGTGCAACACGAGACTTCCCAGGGGGTCACCCATCCTAGTACTACTCTCGCCCAAGCACGCTTAACTTCGGAGTTCTGATGGGATCCGGTGCATTAGTGCTGGTATGATCGCACCCGCCATGTTCCTTTCGCTTTATTCTTTTAAAATACCCCGTCCTGCGAAGCAGTGTGGCTTTTCTAGACCGAAATTAATTTTAAGCGTCAATTCAAGCATTTTCCTCTTATCCTTTTATTTATTTACTTTATATTTATTTTTGTTATTGATTTGCACCCTATTTTTTTCCCTCTTCCCGCAACTCTAAATTATTATGAAATCAATCCTTCACGCTTGCAGTGATACATTTGCGCCCACAAATTTGACCGACGATCCGGGCTTTGATCGAGCCGTACCGTTCCTGATTTGTCTCGCGCCTTCAGACCCGCCTTCATGCTTCGACAAGAAGCAAAATATAAAGCAATCGTTCCGACGGAGCTAAATTACTACCGGATAAAGAACGAATAGGAAATTTGGATTTCGAAACAAAAATGAGAGGGGTGCAACACGAGAACTTCCCAGGGGGTCACCCATCCTAGTACTACTCTCGCCTAAGCACGCTTAACTTCGGAGTTCTGATGGGATCCGGTGCATTAATGTCGGTATGATCGCACCCGCCATTTTTCTTTCGCTTTATTCTTTTAAACTTCCCAGTCCTGCGAAGCAGTGTGGCTTTTCTAGGCCGAAATTCATTTTAAGCGTCAATTCAAGCATTTTCCTCTTATCCTTTTATTTATTTACTTTATTTTTTTTTTGTTATTGATTTGCACCTTATTTTTTTCCCTCATCCCGCAACTCTAAATTATCATGAAATCAATCTTTCACGCTTGCGGTGATACATTTGCGCCGACAAATTTGAGCGACGATCCGAGCTTTGATCGAGCCGTACCGTTCCTGATTTGTCTCGCGCCTTCAGACCCGCATTCATGCTTCGACAAGAAGCAAAATATAAAGCAATCGTTCCGACGGAGCTAAATTACTACAGGATAAAGAACGAATAGGAAATTTGGATTTCGAAACAAAAAAGAGAGGGGTGCAACACGAGGACTTCCCAGGGGGTCACCCATCCTAGTACTACTCCCGCCCAAGCACGCTTAACTTCGGAGTTCTGATGGGATCCGGTGCAATAGTGCTGCTATGATCGCACCCGCCATGTTCCTTTCGCTTTATTCTTTTAAACCACCCCGTGCTGCGAAACAGTGTGGCTTTTCTAGACCGAAATTCATTTTAAGCTTCGATTCAAGCATTTTCCTCTTATCCTTTTATTTATTTAATTAATATATTTTTTGTTATTGATATGCACCTTATTTTTTTCCCTCATCCCGCAACTCTAAATTATCATGAAATCAATCCTTCACGCTTGCGGTGATACATTTGCGCCGGCAAATTTGAGCGACGATCCGGGCTTTGATCGAGCTGTACCGTTCCTGATTTGTCTCGCGCCTTCAGACCCGACTTCATGCTTCGACAAGAAGCAAAATATAAAGCAGTCGTTCCGACGGAGCTAAATTACTACAGGATAAAGAACGAATCGGAAATTTGGATTTTGAAACAAAAATGAGAGGGGTGCAACACGAGGACTTCCCAGGGGGTCACCCATCCTAGTACTACTCTCGCCTAAGCACGCTTAACTTCGGAGTTCTGATTGGATCCGGTGCATTAATGCTGGTGAATGATACGCACCCGCCATTTTCCTCGTTTTATTCCTATTAAACTACCCAGTCCTGCCGAAACAGTGTGGCTTTTCATAGACCGAATTCTTTTAAGCCGTCGAATTCAAGCATTTTCCTCTTATTTGCTTTTATTTATTTACTTTATATTTTTTTTGTTATTGATTTGCACCTTATTTTTTTCCCTCATCCCGCAACTCTAAATTATCATGAAATCAATCCTTCACGCTTGCGGTGATACATTTGCGCCGACAAATTTGAGCGACGATCTGAGCTTTGATCGAGCCGTACCGTTCCTGATTTGTCTCGCGCCTTCAGACCCGCATTCATGCTTCGACAAGAAGCAAAATATAAAGCAATCGTTCTGACGGAGCTAAATTACTACAGGATAAAGAACGAATAGGAAATTTGGATTTCGAAACAAAAAAGAGAGGGGTGCAACACGAGGACTTCCCAGGGGGTCACCCATCCTAGTACTATTCTCGCCCAAACACGCTTAACTTCGGAGTTCTGATGGGATCCGGTGCATTAGTGCTGGTATGATCGCACCCGCCATGTTCCTTTCGCTTTATTCTTTTAAACCACCCCGTGCTGCGAAACAGTGTGGCTTTTCTAGACCGAAATTCATTTTAAGCTTCGATTCAAGCTTTTTCCTCTTATCCTTTTATTTATTTACTTTATATTTTTTTTTGTTCTTGATTTGCACCCTGTTTTTTTCCCTCATCCCGCAACTCTAAATTATCATGAAATCAATCTTTCACGCTTGCGGTGATACATTTGCGCCCACAAATTTGAGCGACGATCCGGGCTTTGATCGAGCCGTACCGTTACTGATTTGTCTCGCGCCTTCAGACCCGCCTTCATGCTTCGACAAGAACAAAATATAAAAGCATGTTCGTTCGACGGAGCTAAATTACTACAGGATAAAAAACGATGTAGAAAATTTGGATTTCGACAACAAAAATGAGAGGGTGCAACACGAGGATTCCCAGGGGTCACCCATCTAGTACTTACTCTCGCCTAAGCACGCTGAACTTCGGAGTTCTTGATTGGATCCGGCTGCATTATTGCTGATATGATCGCACCGCTTTTCCTTTCGCTTTATTCTTTTAAACTACCAGTCCTGCGAAGCAGGTGTGGCTTTTCTAGACCGAAATTCATTTTTAAGCGTCAATTCAAGCATTTTCTTTATTCTTTTATTTATTTACTTATATTTTTTTGTTAGTTGATTTTGCACCTTATTTTTTTTCCCTCATCCCGCAACTCTAATTATCTTGAAATCAATTCCTTCACGCTTGCGGTGATCATTTGCGCGGACAATTTTGAGACGACGATCGAGCTTTGACGCAGCCGTACCGTTCCTGATTTGTACTCGCGCCTCAGCCCCGCCATTCATATGCTTCGACAAGTAAGCAATATATAATGCTAATCGTTCTGACGCAGCTTAATTACTACCCAGGTAACAGAACGAATAGGAAATGTTGGATTTCGAAACAAAAAGAGGGGGGTGCACCCGAGACATCCAGGGTCACCATCCTAGTACGACTCTCGCCCAAGCACGCTTAACTTCGGAGTTCTGATGGGATCCGGTGCATTTGTACTGGTATGATCGCACCCGCCATGTTCCTTTCGCTTTATTCTTTTAAACCACCCCGTGCTGCGAAACAGTGTGGCTTTTCTAGACCGAAATTCATTTTAAGCTTCGATTCAAGCATTTTCCTCTTATCCTTTTATTTATTTACTTTATATTTTTTTTGGTATTGATTTGCACCTTATTTTTTTCCCTCATCCCGCAACTCTAAATTATCATGAAATCAATCCTTCACGCTTGCGGTGACACATTTGCGCCGACAAATTTGAGCGACGATCCGGGCTTTGATCGAGCAATACCGTTCCTGATTTGTCTCGCGCCTTCAGACCCGACTTCATGCTTCGACAAGAAGCAAAATATAAAGCAGTCGTTCCGACGGAGCTAAATTACTACAGGATAAAGAACGAATCGGAAATTTGGATTTCGAAACAAAAATGAGAGGGGTGCAACACGAGGACTTCCCAGGGGGTCACCCATCCTAGTACTACTCTCGCCTAAGCACGCTTTACTTCGGAGTTCTGATTGGATCCGGTGCATTAATGCTGGTATGATCGCACCCGCCATTTTCCTTTCGTTTTATTCCTTTAAACTATCCAGCCCTGCGAAGCAGTGTGGCTTTTCTAGACCGAAATTCATTTTAAGCGTCAATTCAAGCATTTTTCTCTTATTCTTTTATTTATTTACTTTATATTTTTTTTGTTATTGATTTGCACCTTATTTTTTTCCCTCATCCCGCAACTCTAAATTATCATGAAATCAATCCTTCACGCTTGCGGTGATACATTTGCGCCGACAAATTTGAGCGACGATCCGAGCTTTGATCGAGCCGTACCGTTCCTGATTTGTCTCGCGCCTTCAGACCCGCATTCATGCTTCGACAAGAAGCAAAATATAAAGCAATCGTTCCGACGGAGCTAAATTACTACAGGATAAAGAACGAATAGAAAATTTGGATTTCGAAACAAAAATGAGAGGGGTGCAACACGAGGACTTCCCAGGGGGTCACCCATCCTAGTACTACTCTCGCCTAAGCACGCTTAACTTCGGAGTTCTGATTGGATCCGGTGCATTAATGCTGATATGATCGCACCCGCCATTTTCCTTTCGCTTTATTCCTTTAAACTACCCAGTCCTGCGAAGCAGTGTGGCTTTTCTAGACCGAAATTCATTTTAAGCGTCAATTCAAGCATTTTCCTCTTATTCTTTTATTTATTTACTTTATATTTTTTTTGTTATTGATTTGCTCCTTATTTTTTTCCCTCATCCCGCAACTCTAAATTATCATGAAGATATCCTTCACGCTGCGGTGATACATTTGCGCCGACAATTTGAGGACGATCCGGCTTTGATCGGAGCCGTACCAGTTCCTGATTTGTCATCGCGCTTCAGACCCGATTCATGCTTCGACAAGAAGCAAAATTAAAGCAAATCGTTCTGAGCGGAGCTAAATTACTACAGGATAAAGAACGAATAGGAAATTTGGATTTCGAAACAAAAAAGAGAGGGGTGCAACACGGAGGACTCCCAGGGGGTCACCCATCCTAGTACTATCTCGCCAAAACACGCTTAACAATTCGGAGTTCTGATGGGATCCGGTGCATTAGTGCTGGTATGATCGCACCCGCCATGTTTCTTTCGCTTTATTCTTTTAAACCACCCCGTGCTGCGAAACAGTGTGGCTTTTCTAGACCGAAATTCATTTTAAGCTTCGATTCAAGCATTTTCCTCTTATCCTTTTATTTATTTACTTTATATTTTTTTTGTTATTGATTTGCACCTTATTTTTTTCCCTCATCCCGCAACTCTAAATTATCATGAAATCAATCCTTCACGCTTGCGGTGATACATTTGCGCCGACAAATTTGAGCGACGATCCGAGCTTTGATCGAGCCGTACCGTTCCTGATTTGTTTCGCGCCTTCAGACCCGCATTCATGTCTTCGACAAGAAGCAAAATATTAAAGCAATCGTTTCC